AATTACCCCAAACTTAAAAACAATTCACTTTGGAACACAACCACTCGCGTGTGAGCGGGCCGCCGCACTATCAGAATTCTACAAGTAAACTGAACAAAGTGGGTCTATAGTCATAGCTAGAAATTTTTCCTTTGAAATTTCCATGGAAGGGGGTTTCCTCTTAACATAGATCGAGCGACAGGATAGAAAAAAATTCCTAGAAAGAGTTATCAGACTTTTACTGATAATGCGGCTCTGCGCTCACAACGCGAGTCCTGGAGGGTTAAAGGTTGACAGTGACAAACTCTGTGACATTCATAAGAATATTGTACAAATTCCATTTCCTCAATAAATTGGGTTTTTGACTTTAAAATTGTAGCCATTATAGTGTTTGGGTCACAGTTATTACTGTCACTTCTTGTGTGAGCATGGTGTATGTATTAGAGAGAATTCCGTTTTTATGCATCTGCGTTGTTTAGGTCCTGTGCGCTAACTTTACCACACCATACCCAATCAACTTCAGCCTCAGATTATTGTTGGTAGATCAGCTGACATTTATATACAGCATTTATTACATTCATTTCTATGCTGTATATTCTGATAAGTACAGATATTTTGTCGTACAGTCTACATTAAGTGCTGCCAAGGTGTGACGCTGACCACTCAGGTTGAGAATGAGTAGGAGCTACATGGCCTCTCCCCCCCTGAGCACCTACTTGGCATATAGCAGGATAGCTTTTTACAGTCTACACTTTGCATATTTTTATATACTTAACAGATTGCGTAAGGATTCATGTTCTGAGAGATATTGCTCTCAAACATTAACAGAAGATCATCAGATAGCCCACAAGACAGAAGTTATACACAGAGAATAAAAGCATGTGGTTTTGCACTCAAGAAAGAGAAATAACTGATAAAAGACCTGTCATAAGGTAACAGTAGCCAGATTACCTTTAGTGGGTCAGTATAATGCTGTATGGCATGGTGTGATAAATTTTCCTAACAGCATTACATAATTTTACATTTTAAGTGCATCTTATTATATTTATTGCAGGTGGAGACCTAAATCAGGCTAATCTTCATCGAACAACACCGTTAATGGATCTTATTATGTCTTCACCTGCTGATCTGGCAATGGACGTCCTCTACAACATTTGGAAGAAGAAACCAGATGTTAGTTTTTGTCATGCAACCTGACTGTCATCTCTAAAGTGACATTATACAAGAACTTGTGCCGCTAAATATGATTCCAGGATATCTCTTTATGGTTTAGTTAATTCTGCTGTCAGGAGCTCAGATATAGCGTAAAATGATTAATGAAAAGTGATATGGGTGGGGAATATACGAGGCGCGTCCTCAAAGTAAGTTTCCCTGGGGCCGTTTACAGAAACAAAACACAATTTCATGGAAATATTTATTGCAACAGATGCAGCAAGTGTCCAGCTATTTTTCAACATATTCGCCACCGGAATTGAGACATTTGTCATACCGTGGGACCAACTTTTGAATACCTGTGTCGTAGAAGTCTGCCGCCTGGGATTGGAACCACTGTGTGACAGCCATCTCCGCCTCTCTGTCATTCTCAAAACGCTGACGCTGACCGGACAGGAATTTCTTGAGGTGTAGGAAAAGATGGAAATCACTGGGAGCGAGGTCCGGGCTGTAGGGTGGATGATTAAACACCTCCCAGCTGAACTTCTGCAGGAGACTTGCTGTCCGTCGAGCCGTGTGCGGCCTAGCGTTATCACTGACCGCACTTCACAGTCGGCGGGGGCTGGAATAAGAACCTCCATCTTCAACAGCTGCAACGATGCTACTGTGAGAACGCGGGAAGTGCCGTTAGTGCATGCGCCATGCTACGTCATTGCTCTATCACGTACGCACAGTCGCTTCGCGCAATATAAGGTTTGCTAGCTGTGGGACGAGTGGGAAACTTACTTTTGGGACGCGCCTCGTACCATGCTTGGTGGATATTAGAAATGTATACACAGTTTTTGGTTGAAAGCCTGAAGGGAAGAGGTCATTTTGAAGACCTAGGCATATGGGAAGATGTTGAAATGGATTAAAAAGGTTCTGCCCTCTTTCCTTAAAGATGCAGGGTGGGAGGGTATAGATTTGATTTGTGTGGTTCAAATAGAGACCATTAACAGGATGTTTCGAACACCATAATGAACCTTGGTGTTTCTTGACTAGCTTAGCTACTATTAACTTTTAAATAATTATTCTGCTCCTTGAAGTTGAAGTACCAGTACTAGAGAAACAAAATTAGTATTCAGGAATAATACTGATTGAATTTGTTTTTTATTTTTATTTTTTATTTTTAGATTTCATCACTGCAATATAAAAACTGCGCTAATGAAACTGCCTTATGGCGATCCATGTTTGCTGGTTCACCCACAGTAGCAACAGAGCTATTACATCGTGGTGCTAGTCCTGCTCCACGTGCCAAAATTGCTGCTGCAAATTCATTTCGTTGTAGTGATCTTGTCAATCGTCAGTTTGCTGAAGAGAGAGCTGTCAGTGCAGTCTCAGCTATGTTAGCACCTCTGCTACAGGATTCGTCACCCTATCTGCGACATAGATCTGTTTGTCTATTCCACAATTTTGAGTTTAGCAGGAATCTGTATCCATTTCATGTTCAATTGTTGGATAAAGTGTTTTCATGTGCTATCTCACCCGTCGTAGACAATACAGCTGTGTCCCAGTGCTTCCCACAAGTAGTACTGGATGAAATAGAAAAGTTTATTCATGAAGAAACACACTTTTCATTTGATTCACTTCAATTGTCAGCCATTAGACCTCAGGATGTTATGATACTTATGTTTGGAAAGTTAAGTGCAGGCCTCCAACAGCTTTGTGTGCGGAAGATAATAGATCACATCTTTTTCACAACAGACATACGTAAGTAATGATTTCTGTGGTGTGAAAGATATTTTCTCATGCAATTTTTTTTATATGGACATTTGTTATTGTCAATAATATAAATAAAATGAATGGAAAATTAAGTATATATTTATGTTTCATCAGAATGCAGGTCAGAATTTTAATAGAAATAAAGCTAATATATATATATTTAAAAATATTTGAGAGCACCCATAGTAAATCAAAATTATATTAATACAGTAGTTAAGAGCAGATTTCATTGTGACAGTACTTTCTGCAATTCAAAGTTGATATAATTGCGTCATATTGTGAATTAAAATTTAATTATTCGTGTTTTTTCCGTCTAATCACAATTGTATATAAATAAAATTTATACATAAGATATTAAAATATCATTTACATATTTGGTACATCTTTTTACTACATGTTTCGGTTACATTGAACCAGAAGTTACACAACAACAGTAATTAAGTTTTAGTTTATAAGATTATAATTTTTAACTTTTAACTTTACACCTGAAGATGGTTCAATATAATCGAAACATGTAGTAAAAAGATGTACCAAATATGTAAATGATATTTTAATATCTTATGTATAAATTTTATTTATATGCAATTGTGATTAGACGGAAAAAACACGAATAATTTCTGCAATTCATTTAAGAATTTTTTTTTTAAACTTTTAAGATTAAAATATACAAAATTATGACTTTACTTGTTTTATATGGGTGTGAAAGTCTTTCACCCGAAGATAACGACTTGAATCGAGGGTGTTTGAAAAAAGGGTACTGAGAATATTTGGATTTTAGAGAGGAGGTTAGATAATTTACTTTCATGGATAATAAATGGGATTATTTTATGTTTGTTTTAGGTAAATCCATGGAACTTATAGCAAAACTTAAAGGCCAGAAGTTAATTGTCCAGAAAGAGAAGAAGATACCTGAGAACAGGAATGAAAATGAAAAGAAAGATTCTGATGAGGCTGGATCTTCAGTGAATATTGTAGTGGAAGATGTGGAACACATTTCGCAGTGGGATGTGGTAATGGAGTTCAATAAGACAGCCATGATCAATTTAGTTCAAGAGCAATTGAATCTTCCTCCCTCATTAATATCAAGGTTTGAAATAGAAGCTACTCGGCTGCAACTTGGAGCAACCCTTAATAATTTTAGGACTGTTGGCTGTGATGATCATTCAGATGAATCAATCTCAGATCCATTTGCAGATGATGATTATGATGATGATTGTGATTGTGATGACTTTGAGAATGACAATGTTGACCTTATATCTGTTGATGAGAATTTTGATGTCACAAGTGATATGAACATGGATGTAGAAATTATGACTGATCAAGATACCATAAGGGATGCTGAATTATTCACGTTACCTAGTGTCTCTGGTTGGGATGGTTTGGAGAAAGGTGTAGCTGTAGCTGAGGATAATAGCAGTGGTTCTGGGGAATGCGTGCCTGAAAGCATCCAGAGGGATCCTAGTTTTGATGGTGCAGTATCAATGGAGGATGTGTCACATTCTGCCAATTCTATGAATACTGACAATTAATCTATTAATTTGTATTTACCTTTCAAGGAAGAGAGGAGAATATTATGACAATTTTAAAAGGCTGTGATTTTGTATAAAGGAACTTGTTTATTCAGAATACTATATTGTATGCTCTGCTGCATAATACTTAGCTGAGTAGACGGAGCTTCTGTTAATGCAAACTACTAGAAAATGATTTATGCAGAATTTGATTTTATTAAGTATAATGTAACAGAATTTTCCTTCTTCCTGGATCTCATGATATACTATATGCAAAATTAATGACCAACTTATGTATTAATTAAAGAAACAAATTTACTTTAAATAGGGACATGCTATGTATAGTGTAAAATGTATTAAAATTTCTAAAGTACATATTAAAACCAGAATGACAAGATTAACTCCAGTGAGTTCCATTTAAATTTTGTATTATCATTTTGCATATGTCATTCATCTTGTTTGTTTTTTGCAGATACGAACCAACTGTTTCAAAGCTGATCACATTATTTGTTATTACAGTGTAGAGTCATACATTATTTTTCCTTACATTGTTAAATATTCACCATGTTAGACAATTGCTCCAATAAAAGCTGTAGATCTCAACAATTTGTATGCATGAATTTTATTTTTTGAGAACATCAATAAAATTTGATTTTAACCTGATGTAGATGTGTTATTGGACCATTAGTTATGTAATTTTGCAACAAAAGTTATGCATAACATCAAGACATCATGCAAATATAAGCGAGTTCTTTACCTAAATAGCAAGACCAGCAATAACCAACTACTGAAGCATCACTATAGAAAATATTGCAAAATTTTAACTCAAGTCATCAAAGAAGCTAAACGCGTGCATTACAATAAATTGATAGTAGAGTCTGAAACTAAAGTAAAAAAAAAAGAAAAAAGTAACTGGCAAACAATCTAGAGGCATTTAAAGCCCACCAATAATGATAAATAATAATAGAGTAAATGATCATAAACTTATGGCAATTAGACGGAAAAAACACGAATAATTTCTGCAATTCATTTAAGAATTTTTTTTTTAAACTTTTAAGATTAAAATATACAAAATTATGACTTTACTTGTTTTATATGGGTGTGAAAGTCTTTCACCCGAAGATAACGACTTGAATCGAGGGTGTTTGAAAAAAGGGTACTGAGAATATTTGGATTTTAGAGAGGAGGTTAGATAATTTACTTTCATGGATAATAAATGGGATTATTTTATGTTTGTTTTAGGTAAATCCATGGAACTTATAGCAAAACTTAAAGGCCAGAAGTTAATTGTCCAGAAAGAGAAGAAGATACCTGAGAACAGGAATGAAAATGAAAAGAAAGATTCTGATGAGGCTGGATCTTCAGTGAATATTGTAGTGGAAGATGTGGAACACATTTCGCAGTGGGATGTGGTAATGGAGTTCAATAAGACAGCCATGATCAATTTAGTTCAAGAGCAATTGAATCTTCCTCCCTCATTAATATCAAGGTTTGAAATAGAAGCTACTCGGCTGCAACTTGGAGCAACCCTTAATAATTTTAGGACTGTTGGCTGTGATGATCATTCAGATGAATCAATCTCAGATCCATTTGCAGATGATGATTATGATGATGATTGTGATTGTGATGACTTTGAGAATGACAATGTTGACCTTATATCTGTTGATGAGAATTTTGATGTCACAAGTGATATGAACATGGATGTAGAAATTATGACTGATCAAGATACCATAAGGGATGCTGAATTATTCACGTTACCTAGTGTCTCTGGTGGTGATGGTTTTGAGAAAGGTGTAGCTGTAGCTGAGGATAATAGCAGTGGTTCTGGGGAATGCGTGCCTGAAAGCATCCAGAGGGATCCTAGTTTTGATGGTGCAGTATCAATGGAGGATGTGTCACATTCTGCCAATTCTATGAATACTGACAATTAATCTATTAATTTGTATTTACCTTTCAAGGAAGAGAGGAGAATATTATGACAATTTTAAAAGGCTGTGATTTTGTATAAAGGAACTTGTTTATTCAGAATACTATATTGTATGCTCTGCTGCATAATACTTAGCTGAGTAGACGGAGCTTCTGTTAATGCAAACTACTAG